CATCAGTGACTTTTGCGAAAAAATTACGGAACTTTTGCCTCATTATTTTATTGCAAAATCGCAAGCAAGATTCATGAAATCTCTTAAAGAGTCTCTTGGAAACGATGAATTTCTTGTAGTTTGTGATTTTGCGGAGAACTACAAATTTGTCATCCAAAATGCAGTGCCAGGATTCCATTGGAATAATGATCAATCGACAATATTTCCAGTGGTAATTTATTTTAAGAAAAATAATGAATTATTGCACAGAAGTTTAGTGATTATATCTGATTGTAACACGCATGACTCGACTGCAGTTAACGTCTTTTTGAAAATCGTTACTGATTTTATAAAGTCCTTGTCCAATACAGCTAAAAAGATATTCTACTTTTCCGATGGAGCTCCGCAACAATTTAAGAATTACAAAAACTTTGTTAATTTATATTATCACAAGGAAGATTTTGGAATAAATGCTGAATGGCATTTCTTTGCCAGCTACCATGGTAAAGGACCTTGTGACGGTGTAGGAGGATCACTAAAAAGAGGTGCAGCAAGAGCTAGTCTTCAGTTACCATTCGATAAACAAATTTCAAACCCCCGAGAGTTGTATCAATGGGCTGCGCAATCTAATAACTTGCCAAAAATCGAAGTAAGATATTCAACTATTGCAGATTATGAAAAAGCTACAGAGAATTTAAATATACGTTATTCAAAAGCTAAAAGTATCACAGGTACACAAAAGTATCATTGCGTTATACCAAATACAGATGGATCACTCACAATGAAACTGATTTCTTACTCAAATAAAACTTATTCTTGTAAAATATTCAAACGCCAGAAAAAATAAAAAAAAACCTTTAAAAAGTTATAAATAAAATTTACCTTAGAAATTGAAATTTTGACTTCAATTATTTATTATATTGATGTATGATTTTTTTCGAATCTCATCTAATAAAGCCGCCAGTAATACACAAATACTGAAAAAAAACAGAAAAAAAAAATAATTTAAAAATTAAAAAAAAATTATAACCCATTATTATCACATTACGAGACTAGGCTTAAAATTTGTGTGTTTGAAGAGTAGAATTTTTGAGAATTTTTTAAAAAAATTTGAAGGATACAAACAATCTTAAAATTCTTTTTTTACTTTGGAATGAAAAAAAAAACAATCAAATTTATGATGAATAATTTTTTGCATAAATTTTTCAAAAAGTTCATCAAAAAACACGAAATTTGAAAAAAAAAAGTCCCAAATCGGACAATTTTTCACCAAGTTATGGCTATTTAAAAAAAAAAATACCCGAAATTTTCGAAAATTCATATCTCTCGATTGGCTGAATGAAAAAATTTGAAAAAATTCATAGAAACCTTTTTAGAAGGGTACAAAAAGATACCCAAATTTCAGCGAAATCGGAGATGCAAATCCAATCGGTAGGATGAGTTGGCATGGAATGCCCCATATATTACAAGCAAATAATATAAAAATATGAAATTCATTATACATATATTCCGTACAACGTGTTTTATTAATATGTAGGATGAGTTTTTTTGCCTTAATGTAAGAAAAAGAAACGCTTCGTTTCTGATATATACAGTGTTGCAATTTTTTTAAATTATCTCTTTTTTCCTAATATCTATATAATTATCTATAAAAATAACACTGAGCTTTTGATGTATCTAGATTTAATTTATTTATTACAGTGGCGTCCCGGGGCATCTCGGCCGTTATTTATTAAGAAAAAATATGGTATTTGTTCTAGATAAAAAAAATATTTTTTATTACTCTTTTAATAATGGAAGAAATGCCCCCGGGACGCCACTGGAATAAATAAATAAAACCTAAATACATCAAAAGCTTACCATTATTTTTATAAATAGGCACTGAGTTTTAATTAAATCAAAATATGGGTTTTTAAATAATAGGAAAAGAGATAATTTTAAAAAATTGCAACACTATATGTTTCGGAAACGAAACTTTTCTGGAAACTAATTACAATAAAGCTTTTTTTATGTTAAGGCAAGAAACCTCATTCTAAATATTAATAAATCAATTGTTAACTTGTATAAGATTAACCAAAAAATCATATTTTTATATCATATCCTTGTGACATACAAGGCGTTTTCACTGAAGATCAATTAAAATTATCATTAATTAATAATTTTTACAAATTTTTGATTATTATTCTACAAAATATTTGGAAATATTTAATTGAAATGTTAAAAATATTCAGCATTTAATCGATATAAAATATTTGTGTCGCGTTTAATAGTAAATAGTCGAATGATTTAAAACAGCTTAATGTTTGAGTCTTGCTATCATCGAAACGACTCGACTTACGTAAATCTTATATACAACCATTTTGTAGAGCATGAAATTTCCTTGTTAAGTTTATAAGTCCTATTCCTGTGAAATAAATAGTTCCCGAGTTATAAACAAATAAAATTCCTCTGTGCTACTAAAATGAAAAATAGAAAATTGCGATGAACGACCTTTAAATATTGATATTAAAAGCTCATATTTTAACACAGATCATGTCTACGGATACTCTATCGATTTTTCTATGTTCTTCAAATGAAAAAGAAAAAAGATTTTTTTGAAACACTAGTTTTGATATCAAACTTATATACGTATTTTTGGTAATACTTGATAAAAAAACAAAAATCGGGCAAAAATGTGGTTACTTCAATGCTGCATTAAAAAAAAATTGTATATATTTTTTCTACTCCTAATACGGAATTTGACCCTTCTAATATCACTTTTATCTATGGAATGACATATATTCCGTAAAGTGTTACAGAATGAAATATTCTATCATCTTATGACAGAATAAACACTCGTGGCGACATCTCTGTTTTTAATATCTAACAAATTTTAGACCGATCCAACCTAACTTTCTTCCAATTAAATTATTTTTCTATGGTATTTTTTGAAAACGTAGAAAAAGTATAGTCTGAAACACGTTTGGAATTGCATATTCCGCTCTCGTGAAACCGTCAAACTCGCCTTCGGCTCGTGTGACAAACTCTTCACTCGAGCGGAATATGCTGTATTCCAAACTTGTTACAGAATATACTATTATATGGGCACTATAGTGATAATGTCCCAAGCGAAATCGTTGCCAAATATCGAAGGTCAAAGGTGAAGAAAAACAGTTTTTCTAGAATATCTCGTAAATTATAGATTTTAAGTAAACTTTGGCATTATAAAACTTGTTATTTGCGTAATTCTGCATAAAATGGCAGTTCTCGAGATAATTAAGAAAAACTGTTTTTTGTCGATAGGGACGTTATTAGCAGGCCCGTTCCTGGCGAGCGTGCAGTGCGTGCACGCACGCAGGCGCAACATTTCGGGGGCGCAAAATCAAAGAGTCAATCAGTACTTTGTAACGATAAACTTTCTTGCATATGATCCTTAAACATACATTGGATAAAGGTTTCTGCCTTTTTTGCGTCGGCCGCTCTTTTTTTCGGTCGCTATAAAGCGCCTTTTGCCGCTTTGATATTGGCTGCTTATTTTATTTTGATATAAGGATTAAAATAAAAGGAGAGAAGTGGTCATATTATCTTTAGTATTTGTTTGATAGTTGCAGTTGACGGTAGCAAAGTTTAACAGTAGTAACTCTCTAAAATAGAATTAGTCAAAAATAAATAATTCAATTGCAATAGCGAAAAAGCAGCGACTAATATTTATTGTCAATAGCCATTTGTATCCCGGATATTTAGCAGTCAACTCCTATGTAAAATTGTCCGCTGAATCCGAAAATGTCGTCAAAAGTTATAAAAGTAGAACGTTTTTCTTAAAAACTGCTTTACTTTTATAATTTTTGACGGTATTTTCGGATTCAGGGGACAATTTTACATAATAATAAGCTGTTAAATGCCCGGGATACAAAAGTGGACTAAAGTTATTAGTGACTGCTTTTTTACTTTGAAAACTAGTCATTTTTAGAGAGTACGTCACTAAAAACCAGTTGTAGTTATATTGTTTAGATTGTTTTTTTTGTTTTCTTCAGAGTATTTTTATCATTGACTATTTCCCTCGTCTTAATTTCCACCAATCACAAACGCGCAATTGAACTACAAATGGTTTCTAGGTGGAAAAACTTTATGACAGCACCCTTCAGCAGTTTTTTCGAGTTAACCCGCGGCAAAACTTGACAGCTGTTGTCCAAAAATTATATTTTAATTGTTAACTGTTACTCATAAAATAGTCTTGTCAAATACCATTAGGGCATCTAACTTTTCCTGCGAAAAAAATCGTTAAAACACAATGTTAAGTAATATTTTTTAACAAAATGCTTTCGTGCAGGTGCAAAAATCCTCGTCTTGGACTCGGATTTTTGTTGCCACCAGCACTCATGCTTCTTGTTAAAATATTACTTAGCAACGTGTTTTTTCGATTTTTTTATACTTAATTTAAGCGGTTTTTTTACATTTTCAATTACATATTGCCAGTTTGTCGCAAAATATATATTTTTTAAATTTTACGGCTTAAAATTCAAATATTTAATGCATTATATTTAAATATAAAAGGGGCGCACCAACGAATGCTGCACGCAGGCGCCAGGCACCCCAGGAACGGGCCTGGTTATTAGGGCCCTAAATCCAAAGAAAAATTTTGCCTGGGATTTTTCCCAAGTGAAACTCTTATTTGACTGGGCTAAATAGTAGACATTTAAAAAAAGTTTCTTAAGGTCTAGAAGCAAGAAATTAACTTTCTAAATTTTTTTTCAATGCATCATGTAAGAAAGTACACTTTTTAAATTTTTCTACATCAATTTTTAAGTTTAACGGGGTTGCACAAAATATAAAAATGACCCTTGAAAGGATTTAAATAAATATATTTTTTTTAATTTTATATTATTTTTTTACTGGTATTTTTTAGTGTTCAGATTTTCTTTTAAGAACTTTTTTATTTTTCGATTTACAAAGTTTTTCCAATGTACTAAAAAAGGTGAATTTTAATCAATTTCACTTATTTAAAGCAAAATAGTAATAATTATTTATTTTATTTCTTATTTCCAACAATAACTATTAAAATAACATTAGTTGCCAATATAAAGTCTCTTATAAAATTTAATAACCAATATATAAAATGAGTATTTTAGTTTTTGAACTTAAAAATTGTACGATTTTTTTATAATTCATCATGATCCATATTGGGAATATTAACAATTTCCCCCTCTCCAGTACTTAATAAAACATCTTCCATGTGCTTTTTTTCAAAGTTTTCCTCACTTTTGAAAACGTTATTTTCGTGAATAACATTGTTCTCAATAAATTTTAATTTTTTAGTGCTGGTATTTAAAGTATCCAGCAATTCCTTGAATTTGGTATGGTTTTTTACATGTCCAACAGCTTTATCAACTATTCTAACAAATTCGTTTTTATCGAAGCGATAATTCGCGAATTTCGCATGGGCTCCACCATTATGAGACCCCTAAAAAAATACATAATTTTTATTGTAAAATAAAAATAAAAAATACTGTGTTTACATCTTGCTCAGAAATTAACTTCGCGCTATCCTCCCATGTAAAATATTTTGCTCCTTTTAATCTTGCCAAGTCCATATAACAGCTAGCGTCTTCACAATTATATCTAAGTGTTAAAATAAAGAATTTAGCTACATTAATTTTACATTTTAAACAGTAAAAACTTTTCTTCTGCAGCTGGTTAAAATCTGAAAAAATTCTGCAACTTACATTTCAAAAATTGAAGCCCATTCAGGTAAGAACAACAGATGTGTGAGTCCGGCTCCATGAATCCCAATTAAAATATCACTATTCCTAGTGACTTCAAGTTGGGTTTTAAATGGCACATTTTTATTGTAAACGACTTTTTCCACGTCGTATTCTTCGTTTTTCTCTAATTCTTCCAACAATTCGTCTTCGTTTATAACTTTTCGGTATCTCGTGTCGCGAGATATAAAAGTTATTTTTATTTTGCTGTCGGTTCTTTTGTGAAACGGGATTTTCAGTCTGTGTAGGACGTGCTTGGAGAAAGCGTCAAAAAGACCACTTCCTACAAAAATTAAATTAAATTAAATGAGAATAAATTTTGGGTTTTGGATATGTTCCCTTTTGGAAATCACATTCCTTATTATCTGTAAAATTACAGTTTTATAGGTCATTATACTTTTTAGCCCCATCTGCCTCTAAAAAATAAATATTTTACATTTTCATATCCATTGTGACTACCTACTATTTAGGCAAGGTAATTCTAATCTTACTCTTAGCAGTAAAGCTTCGCTTAAGTTTTAATGTCGTAGCGATAGCAGTGCAGTGAGAAAAGAGATATGTGACAAAGGAGACATTTTTCACAATAAAAAAATTAAATACCCGAGTAAATGCCGTGACGAAAGATAACCTTCAAAAACACACGCAGCTTGTTTGTAACGCGCAAAATAACAATATCGCAGTGTTGCCAGATTTAGGCCTAAAATGTACGAGTGTACGAACATAATCTTGTCAGAAAGCGCCTGGAGAAATAAACCTAATAATTAAACCCAAGGGCATACCTTGTGAGGGATATTTTAGGACAAAATCTGGCAACACTGCAATATCCTGCAGCGGCGCCATCTCGTGCCACATTTATAAACTACATGGGTCAAAGTTCTTTTATAAGTAATGCTAAATTTTATTTTATAACAAAGCTATTTTTATTTAGGCGGTTTGTGACGAAGTAGACATTAAAAAGGTTTGGTCACGCTTAAAAAATTATTCACAGACATTTTATCATATATTTTTTAGTTTTAGAATTCTGTTTCATACCTATGAAATATGTATAAGTTTTCACTATTGCTATCATAGGGACATAGGGTTATAGAGTGTGATACTAACTTTTAACCTTAATTAAGAGTCTTAATTTAAGACATTAAAAATGTGTTTATATATAATTGAAAAATTTTCCATTAGTTTTTGTTATTTTATGTTCTTATTTATGAATCTGGTTCTATATTAGTTGTCTCAATTTATTATACACTGCGCGTCAAAATTAACGCATAACAAGTAAAAAAAATCTAACTCTAAAACGCCTTTACCAATCTTTATAAAATTTTGGATAAAAATACTTTAACTTATATCTCAGTTTACGTGTTCGAGGGTTTTTCGAGAAAACATCATTAAAGCCCTTTTATTTAATAATAAAAAACGCTCGAAAAAAAACTTGTATAGGGAAATTTTTTTCAGTAAATAAAAATATGCTGTGAAAGGCCATATTTTTGTTAGTATACCCTGAAAATGTTGTACAAATCAAACAAACAGTAACGAAAATATAGCGCTTCAAAGTCGTCAAAAATGACCACTTTTCAGCAAAATAATCAAAAAGGGGTAATTTTTACCGTCTTTAAAGCGCTGTATCTTCGTTACTGTTCGTTTGATTTGTACAAAATTCTCAGGGTATACTAACAAAAATACGGTCTTAACAGCATATTTTTTATTTACTGAAAAAAATTTCCCTATAAAAGTTTTTTTCGAGCGTTTTTTATTATTTTTATTATTAAAATTAAAGGGCTTTAAAAATATTTTCTCGAAAAACCCTCGAACAGGAACTGAGATAGAAGTTAAGTATTTTTATAAAAAATTTCATAAACATTAATGAAGGCGTTTTATAGTTAGAATTTTTTTACTTATTATGCGTTAATTTTGACGCGCACTGTATTTTTAATAAGAAATATTTTTGTATAACTGACAAATGGCAGAGAGCCTTAATAGTATAATGACCCTTATACTTTTTTCCTTTATCTATTAAGAACTTCGTTCCACCTTAAATTCTTTATAAGCAATTATCAACCCTTATGAACCTTTCAATTCATTGAAAACGACACGGAATTGTTTTCACAGTCGCTCAAATCTGTCTTGAGAACTTTACTATTTAAACTAATTTCTCGCTATAACAATTGAATGAATGAATTTTTGGTTGTTTTTTCATTTAATTTGAAGCGCAGCTACGAACGCCATCTATTCAAATTAATCCAAAGTTGCACGAATTTGGATTTTTTCCATATCCAGCTGTTCCCTTCGGTTTTTCCTATTTCCAATTTGAACGCCATCTATTCAAATTAATTCAAAGTTTTACGAATTTCGATTTTTTTGATTTTCCGGCTGTTCCTTTCGGTTTTTCCTAATGTATTTTTATTTAAATAACCACTGTATTGAGGCGAACAAAACAAAAAAAATTATTTAAATCGGTTGAGCCATTTCCGATTTTTGTTGGACTAACGCTCGGCGATTCATTTTTATATATATAGATAGGTAGAAGATAGATAGATAAACCCAAAAATCTCGGACTTTTTCTTACCTTCACATCCATAAATCAAGGGAGTATTATAATAAAGCCCAAAAATCATTCGCGGTAGCAAAGGAAACACAACATTCTTAAAACACACTGAGTCCCCCCTGAAAGCTTTTAGATCCAATACAGGGTGATCTGTAAAAGCTTGCCAGGTATCTTGAAATGCAGACTTGTATGTGTAAGTTTCCCACAGCAAAATCTGCACATCTGTACTGAAAGCATCCCTATGAGTTGCATTTAAATGCATTGAAGCGTATAGGTTTAAAAAATCACAGAAATGATGATACATATTGACAGCTAAAATAAGTTGATGTTATTTCTTTGTTAATGTACACATAAATTTGCAACATACTAGCATCAATTTTCATAATAAATGTAGGTTTCTCTATAACTACATCACAGTCTCCTTCAACAATGGGTCTACGATTGAGCCTACTAAAATACCTGATTTCAGGACTCCAGCTTTGCAGAGGACTTAAATGATCTAGATTTTTATCTAACCGTTCTTTTTTTAACTCACAATATCCTCCTATTTCTCCATCTTTCAACACATCCATTTTATACCTGATAGGTTCTTCTCTGTACAAAAGCAAGGTAAAATTTAACATTAAATTTCTGCCCCTGCAAAATCTTAAGTGATCTGAACATTCCAATGAACTATCGTCAACAAACATTGGTTCACATATTATTTTTAATTCACGCAATTGCTGTCTGATGTAACCAAAATCTGCCTGTGTGTAAAATGTATTGACTTGATCTAATTTAGAGTTAACCCATCCTTTATGATCACCTGGACATGATGGGGTGGAATATTTGTTTTCCAATGGACAGCCATATTCGTAACCCCAGCATTTATTCTTATTTAAATGCTCTTTGTATGGGCAATTTTCGTCTTTTTCGCAATCTCTTGCTATTTGTGGAAAATTTTTAAAATAATATTGCAGGTGTTCCTCTGGCAAATTTATACTTGAGTAATTATCACATAAAACTTGTACTATGAAATTAAATAATATGAATACGGTCAACATTTTCGGTTTACACTAATAAGTACTAATTACCGCCTAAATTACTTTTACTTTACATTAAAAACTCTATTATATTCATTTTTATTTCATTTCATTTCATTTTTATTTGGTGTTTTTCAACACATTTTCAATTCGGTATTTTACAATGTTACCACCACAGAACAAACCACAGAACACCATACACAATTTAAATGTTACCAAGGGCAAAAAATGTAAAAACATAAAAATAAATTTCCCTATTTACAGTAATTCCAAATGTCTTTGTTCGAGTAAAGATATTGTTTTTTATTATTTAGACAAAATAAGTAAGTTTTATGAAATGCCTTGAATGATTCCAGTTGAACCTACATTGAAATCAATTTAGTTTTGAAATGGTAAAACCGAAATAATATTTAGAACAAAAATACATTTATAAGGTAAAAGAGAAACAAGAAAAAACTAATTAATATACTACTACTACTACCTCTAGGTTTTTTTTTTAATTCACAAGTTCCTGTGAAGTTAACCAAACGATTTAAATAATTTATATAAATTATATAATAATAATTTAACTTAAAACTTATTATTTGTATACATACATTTTTACTACCCCTGCTTTGTTTTGATTTGGTTGGGTGATTTTAGGGACAATCATATGCAATGTTGCCAAATCTGAGTTCATAATGTAAGTTACATTTGTGGTTAATTTAATGGTCCATAACTTTTGTGTCCAATTGTGAGTAATTAAAATCGGAATTTAATTCACTGGCATATTTTCTTTTGGAAACGGGGAAACTAAACGTTTAGGGAATTTCATTTTTGATTATCGGCAACATTCCCCAGCGGTTAGTGTCGACAATAAGAACATATTTATCTAATTTGCTTTTTTTCGCTTCTAAAGTACACCCTTGCTTTTAAATATACTCTATAATGTTTAAAAAAATTTGAAGTTGTGAAAACTGTAAATTGGTAAAATCAGTTGGCAACACTGATCATATGTCAAAAATGGCGGCAGTTTTTCGCGTGAAGCGTCGACTGGACGAAGAACCTTCAGAAGCTTTAATATTGAACTGCAAAAAACGTAAAACAGACCCCGACTCGGATTCAAATTTGTCGGCCTTCCTAAAGTTTGCTGGTACAGTTAAAACGGTATGTCGCAACCTATTTTTATAACCGTAAAATGTATGCCTTTGTTCTTTTCAGGAAGAAAATGTTCTATCGCACATCAAAAAGTATACAAATGATGACACCAAGTCCGAATTTAAAAAGCACACAGTTAATCTCACAGATAAGCTTAGGCTACAAAAGAGGGAAGAATCGAAAAATGCTCGATACAAAATTGTGAATTGTTACAGGTCAAATTTGAATGATGATTTGGAAAATAGCGAAGTTGATGAGAAGTTAACGATATTCGATATTGAAACTGATTGCAATGAAAATAGTAAGACTGTTGAGAACAAAAATACCACTTCCGAACCTGATTATGTTTACGATCTCTATTACACTAACTCTGATGATTTGGGGGATGCCAATTTAGAGGAATATGTTAGGTAAATATTTAAATTAAATGTTTTAAAAACAATTTTATTTCATGCCTGTTGCTAAGCAATATAGTATACTTTCCATGCTGTTTAACCAAAATTATATTAAAAGTTTACAAAATACAGAACATAATATAATATATTATATTATAATATTATACTTGCTAATGTTTGGCATGAATTAAATGAAGGGGTCAGATGCTTTTCATATTGCTATAAACAAAAATAGAAAAAAACGGAATCGAAAATTATGGTTTTTATATACCCAGACAACATTCATGATATTCATATGAACATCATGTTGTGATTTTCACAAATTTTATTCATACTGATATCATACGGAAGTCACCGCGTGATAAATGAATATCATACGAACGACACGTCGTAATTTTCACAAATTTTATTCATAATGACATCATCCGGATGTCACTGCCTGAGAAATGAAAATCATGTGATTTTTTATGCCATCGCTGTTTGCGATTGACCGATGGCCTAAAAAATCATGTCGTGATTTTTTATGCCAATTGGATAATCATTTTTGCGCCACATTCGTACATTGAAAGAAAAAGTATGTTAACAATTGAGGGGCTTGGAAGTAAAACGGTTCAAGTGCACTTTTTTAAATAAATGGTCTAAGTGCAGAATATCACACCTAAAGAATATTCTAACTTAGTGGTAAAATTATATAAGTACATTTTACATTCCCTGGCGCCATTTCTTATTGTCTTTAAAAACCTGTCAAAATATTTTAAAATATATCTTTGGTAAAACGATTTAAGTGCACCTTTTACTGCTAAACATAGGCTATTATCTATGCTGCTAAAGCCTTGACAAGTATTTTAAAACATGTCAAGTGATTACTTGTTTTCACAGATATTTTTCAGTGTTAGTCCCTACTGACATTGATCCGACGTCGGAATAGAATCGGCCATAGGATGTCGTACAGCTGACGTCGAACGTATGTTCGCACAAGCGATTCTGATTATGAATAATACTTTTTGTTGTAAAACTTACCCAAATTTTAAAAAATAAAGTTTTGTTCTAGTACAGTTATTGCATTTTAATCATTTTACCACTAAATTTTGTCTTACATGCATGACGATTTAAGTACATTTTTGTAAAAAAAATTAACAAAAAAGCTAAATTGAAAAATTCCTTTTTCTTTATAATCCTTTTTTGTCTTTAAACAAAACTAAAATATTCAAACAGTTTTTAAAACTTTTCTAGAATTTTAAAATTCAAGTTAACTTTAAAGCCATTTATCTCAGAACTAACAAAAATGCACTTAAACCCTTTTACTTCTAGGCCCCTCAAATGAATTAACAGTTTTTGCTGTTAAATACATTTAATATTTTCTTGGATGTAAATTAACTATTAATTTAAATCCAAAAAAATATTGAATGTATTTAACCACAAGAACTGTTGATTCTATATATATGTTGGTATACTTTTTATCTCAATGTACGAATGTGGCGCAAAAATAAATATCCAAACACTGATGGCATAAAAAATCACGACATGATTTTTTATGCCATCGGTGTTTGGTCATAAAAAATCACGACAGGATGCCATCGGTGTTTCGATATTTATTTTTGCGACACATTCGTACATTGAAAGAAAAAGTATGTTAACAATTGAATCAAAAGTTTAACATTCAATATTTTCTTGGATTTAAATTAACCATATATAGTTAATTTAAATACAAGAAAATATTAAATGTATTTAACGGCAAAAACTGTTGATTCAACATAATTTTTCTCTTAGTGTACGAACGTGGCGCAAAAATGATTATCCAAACACCGTTGGCATAAAAAATCACGACATGATTTGTGCCATCGGTCAATCGCAAACAGCGATGGCATAAAAAATCACGACATGATTTGTGCCATCGGTCAATCGCAAACAGCGATGGCATAAAAAATCACGACATGATTTTCATTTCTCATGCAGACATCCGGATGATGTCCGTATGAATAAAATTTGTGAAAATCACGACGTGATGTTCGTATGAATATCACGAATATTGTCCGGGTACTTTTGAACAAAAAATGTTGTTTTAGCATTAAACATTTTTATATCTAAAAAATCATTGGTTTTAGAAATAAACACATGTCAACTTCTGTTCACAGTGTTTTTTTCTCCCACTCATAGATGAAACCAAAATCAGAATAATCATTTAGGTTTTCTTTGAAACAAATAAAACGAAATTTCTACTATCCGGTAAGATGTTTTGGTCATTTTGACCTAAAAATGCATTTGAAGAGTTTCCATAAAATGTGTTCAACATTTAATAAATGATTATAATAAACATTTACAAATAATTTTAGATTTTTTTACAGCACAGATTTCAAGCAAATAATTTTTTAAGTTTTCATATGCCATTTTTTATTTTGTATCTAAGGAGCTTGCTCATTAGATTTCCATAAAAAATTTACTGTAATAATGAATTTTTAAACTAACAACATGATCCTATTTCGTTTCTTGAGTTTGAAAACGAATTTTTGAAATAATCCATGGTAAATCTGTGGAAAATAACAGTTTTCTACAACTGTTATTTTCCATGGATTTTTTTAAAAATACGTTTTTAAACTCAAGCAACCAAGTGTTGATGGTTAGAAATTGATTATTACAGTATATTTTTATGGTAATCTCAAACAACAATTTTTTTAGCACTTTAAAATTTATATTATAAATTTTGTGGTGCCAACTTAAGAAACACAAAAATAAGACAGTTTTAAATCTTAATTTTGCCATTATAACAACACATTAACATGGCCTTCTGTTATCAATTTTTCAAACTCTTCAAATGAAGATACTAGGTACCTTAAATGTAATAAAATGAGTTATTTTGTTATTCTGACATTACATTACATGCTTTTATAAATATATTTAATTCATGCAAATTACTGTATATATTTTTACACATTTTAAAATGCATTTTATCATTATAGCGCTCATCTCCTAACTTTTTTTTGTTGAGATTTTAGTAACTTTTAACTCAAAAGTTACTACTACCTACATTAACAAAATATTTTTTTAAGTTAAAAATAACGCACAGTACAGTAACAGTTAATTAGTTATTGTGAAATTTACTGACTAATAATTATTTAAAATTTTGTTTTTGCAGTCAAATATTTATTGTCACTTTTCCATTTTAGAGCAATATTAATTTACGACAAAAAAGGACAATCATTTAATAATAAATAATGCTTAAAATAACTTATCAAAAATTCCGCAAGTATTTCACCTTCTCAAAAAATTGTCAAAAAGCGCATTTTTAGGTTGTTAAATTTTATTGATGGTCACTCAAAAATATTTTGTTTCCTATTATAAATATAATTTGAAAATATATGTTAAGTTTTAACGGTAATTTGTAATTTTTTACAGTAGTTATAGTAGTTATACATTTTGCAGATTGGAGCAAAGTTTGTTAAATTTAACACTATATAGCAGCCTTACTCAAACTTTTTTTCTTGGGCCAAATATGTATGACTGATACATCAGGCGGGCCGCAACGACCTATATTACAATAAAACTTAACATTTAAACGTAATAATTTATTTCAAAATTAATGACATCTTGATTGTTGAAATTGTGGACAACTTTTGACAATTTTAGTTAAATCCGGCTACATGCTATTCTTAACACATCGTGAAGGTGTGAATCAGCCGACAACTGTACCTACGCATTGCATATGTGACGTGATCCGAAAAAACAAACCTAGCATCCAAAAATAAAATTTTACATAAGGCGATTGAAGTTTGGACGACATAGGCGTTTGTGTAGTAAAGCTCGACTTCAAAAAATAATAACCATGTCAAATCCATCTGGACCTTTCGAAAGATCATTTTTTGGACGCTAGCTCCCTTTCCTTGGATTGCGTCCAATATTTCTATTTAGCGTTTCAAAGTTATCAGGTACCAGGTACACCTTACTACTTTTTAAAATTGTTTCTATCCATTTAAAAATTGCTTCCAAATTTAAGTCGGTTTTAAATTTAATACATTTATTCAATCCCAATGCAGCAAGTTGTCTCACAGCGGGGGTTTGTAAGTGCCAGTGATTTTATACTAAGGCAAGATTAACAAATAACTTTTGGGAGTGTTTGCCTACTCGCGTCCCGCGACTGTAAATCCCCACCATTTCTTACAAAAACGCATTAAAGGGGCTCGTCTAACGCCGTATTTCAAACTCGTCACAGTCAAAGTTGGAAAGATTACACTCTACTTGGCCGATCCACGAGCAATAAAAATCACTTCATATTACAGAAAAATATTGCCCTTTATCTCACAAGGCTGCGTAAAAAAAGTGTTTTACATTATTTGGGCATTTTTTTATTTAAAAATTACTGTGGCTAGGCTTTGGGCCGCAAAGAAAAGGTTGGCGGGCCGCAGTTTGAGTATCGCTGCTATATAGGTATCATCTAAATTATTTGTTTATACTCCAAAAATAAATTAATTAAACTTACCGTCCAATATCCTTTAATAGTATATTATGTATCAAGTTTTATAAACGCCATTTTAGTTACGAGTTAAATTAAGCACGAGCGAAGCTTGCGAGCGAGTGTTTAATAAAAACTAGTGCCTAGAGAAGTTTATAAACGAGTTGCATACTATACTTTATCTACGACGAACACAAAACAGAATTTAAAGCCAATTTTATTTGTTAAAATTTTGACATCTGTCAACTGTCACCCGAATTTAACCTCACTTTTTCCCAATTTATAATAAAGCCAACTTCAGCCCGTGGCGAAAAATGTCGAAAAGCCACATAAAAACTTTATAATTCGCTTATGAATGGACATGGCACAAAATATATTTTATCTACTCCTACATTGACGAGCTGTGACTTTATGGTGTTTTATTGACGGGCTGAAGTTAACAACAGTGGCTTTTCGACATTTTACGCCACGGGCTGAAGTTGGCTTTATTATAAATTGGGAAAAAGTGAGGTTAAATTCGGGTGACAGTTGACAGATGTCAAAATTTTAACAAATAAAATTGGCTTTAAATTTTGTTTTGTGTTCGTCGTGATAAAGTATAGTATGCAACTTGTTTATAAACTTCTCTAGGCACTCGTTTTTATTAAACACTCGCTCGCAAGCTTCGCTCGTGCTTAATTTAACTCGTAACTAAAATGGCGTTTATAAAACTTGATACATAATATACTATTGTGCCATGTCCATTCATAAGCGAATTATAAAGTTTTTATTAAGTGAAGAACAATAAGTATCATCATTTAGGCAGGGCTATGTGAAAAAATCGTAAAAGACCTTTTTTGTAAAATTTCCTACAACAATAATATTATGTCTTTGATATTGTTGCATGCCTATTAATTAGCGAGTTATGAATATTTTCTTATGCTATTAAAATGTCATTTAGGTTAAACAACATCTAAAAAAACATTATTATTTTTAAGACTGTAAACAAAAATTAACTTGGGATAACTTTAATTAATTTAGTTTAGTTTCTATATGCTTTGCACTTGTAATGTGTACCAAAACTGTTTTACTATTGGAATGGATTTGTTTACTAAAATGTGACTTAAAACTTAAATGCAAATTTAAAAATTTATATTCCGAATGCTAGTAACTTGATATCCAACATTTTAATTAAATAAATAGATAAAAACGAGCAAACCCTTAATTTTAATTGTAATGCAAAAAATCATTTAAGAAATACATTCTTGTTTTAACTAAAATTTGCAAGAACATATTTGTTATAGCGTTTGTCCTTTGGATGATCCATTGTTGTTTGGAACTGCACGGGAAAATGGGTTGCAGGCATCAGACAGTGAATGCGATAGTGAGGATTCAAATGCTGAAAATAATTGGAGAAATGATTATCCAGATGAATCGGACTTGGAGAGTGTGAACGAAAATGACATGGTTGAAGCCATGCAAAACGTTGATATTAAAGAAGACTTATTGTCCAGTGATAGTGGAGAAGAAGGGTTTGTTTATAGGTATGATCAAATAAGCAGAAACTTAAAGTTTAATGAACATTTGACTAATTTACTTATTAATATTTTTAGTATTGATAGTGAAGCAGCTGGTTTTGAAGAAGATATTGATGAAAGTGATGTGCAAAGATATGGGGAGAGGTATGCTCGTTTTAAGGCTAGAAACAAAATTGAAAATATTGAATCCAGTGGAGTTGATAAGGATTTGTATTATGGAGATATTGATGAGGAGGAGTATTATTATTAAGATTTTAATTGAAGTTGTGTTTATATTTTTGAAATAAATGCGTTGTGTTTATATTTTTAATGATTGTATATTTATTGTTTCAATGTGATTTATTTAATTTAATAAAAGAAGTAGTAATTTTTTTATATTTTGTTAATTTATTAAACCTTACCTGTTGACATAAAAAATAGTTTTTGATATACTAGAGATTTAATATTTCCGGAACAATAATTGGAAAGTTTAGAAAAAATCAATATTTGTTATAATGATTATTAATCTTGAAATTCAAACATTACTCGTAAATTATTTTAACAAAAAAACGCATTTTAGAACCCTGACAAATTGGAGCAGCAATGTTAATTAATTGACCATATGCAAGGAATGCGGTCGAGGTTACCAATGGTAAAAAAATAAAATTCCCTATTGAGAACATTCAATTATATTAAGTTGGCTACATTGAAAATTTGAACTTCCCGCACAAACTAAATTAATTTCCATCTTTTTTTTAATAATAATAAATAATAATAATTCCCACATTTGAAATTCGCACCTTAATTTATTATACAACATTGGAACTACCTTCTTTATCTCTGGGAACTACTAGAATGTATGTCAGTTTGTGCGGGGAATTCAAAATTTCAGTGTAGCCAACGTAATATAATTGAATGTTCCCAATAGGGAAGTTTATTGTTTTACCATTGGCAACATCGACCGCATTCCTTGCATATGGTCAATTGGGGATTTCCCGCATTTTGGTAAATCCCCTAAAAATTCATTTTATTGTTTTTATTAGATAATTTTTCTTTTTTATCAATGTGTCAAAAATATAAGTCAAAATTGGTTGTATTAAAATATGGGATTTGGCAACTTAAAAAGGAAGTTTTTTTTCAAAGGAGATATGGATTTAAATATTTGGAATGTAGGTAATAGATGAGAAGAGATAATGGAAAGAAAGTTCCATTATGATAAATATAAGAAGGGTTAAGTGTAGCAATTAGGGTTGCCAGACGTCCCGATTTAGGCGGGACTGTCCCGATTTTTATCGATTTGTCCCGCCTTCCAATTTGCACGATTTTTAATATTACACTCGAGATTATGCACATTATTCACGAAAAAAAAAACGGAAAAATTGGGAAATTTTCAGAAATATTGACTTGCATTTTTATCATTTTATTCAAAAGGTAATGCAAAAGTCAATTTTTCTGAAAATTTCCAAATTTTTACAGATGATATCCGTACAGTGATATCAAGAAAAAAGTTAATTTCCGATGCTGATTATAATCATATAATATATGAAGGTACATATATATTAATAATTATGATGAATATAATAATTATTCCTTTCAGTAAGATTCAATTTTTTTTCTACTGGGTCGCAAAAAGAACATTTTCGTTGCTGTATTAAAATAACTTTCGTTTTATTTGATACTTACCTACTTCAATTTATAAAATTATAATTTTGTAATTTAACTTATATATTATACTTTATCTACTCCAATTCGTGGATAATTAAATGATTTTTAAAAATATATATATTTTTTAATTTAATATTAATTAATATCGGATTTTATTTATATATAAATAAAATCCGATATTAATTTTAAATTTCGATTGGTTAACCTGACTTTCTATCAATTTTAAATATAAGTAGTCACCTTCTCCCAATTTAAAACCCGATTAGTTCAAATCAGTTTTAATTTTTTTGGAAAAAAGTTTTGTATATTTTTTCACAATCAAAATATTTTAGTATAATTATTATTAACCCTTATGCAGGCGCACCTCTTTATGCAACGTAGTAGGTCGCGCGGGGTGTCAGAGACACCCCTGATGGCAAAGCGTCCCTGAGTGTTATTTACATTTTTTTTGTTTTTTTTTCAAAGTTATCAAGTTAAGATGAGCTGAGAGACAATGAGAACATATTTCGTTGCGTTCAAATTTGATAAAAGATGACAAAAAAAAGAAAATGTCAAAAGACGACAATTTTAATCAAATAAAGCATTTATTAAAAAAAAAACAAATTTTAAAAGTCATAATAATAATAAAAACAAAAAAAACACTAAGCACTTAAGATAAGGTTTACTTTTACAAGTAATTATGATTTGGTAAAAAAAAGTCAATAGGGAGGCGAAACAAAGCCTGCTCACGGGGTGTCCACAGCACCCAGAGCCTGTTTAAAACAAAATACCAGACAACCTATTACATTAACTTCAAAATCGGCAATGTAATATGACTGAGAATACTTTGACAGGAAGGTACTGAAAGTAAGCGCCATTTATACGAATCGATGTGAGACCGGTAGCTATATTTAGGAAGCTGGGGTGTTTTGTACACCCCGCGTGCCTGCTTAAGGGTTAAGTACTTCAAAAATGTATATTCCGGCTGAAGGACGAAAGTCAATGGCCCTTTGAAAAATGTATTTTTTTCAATAAAGAACATTTATTATTATTATTTAAAAAAAAGTAATAAAAATATAAGACAAAATTATGACGTTGATTTTTTTGTTTCTTTCAGGTTTAACTTTATTTATATTTTTGATTTTCCGTAGAAGTCACTCTTGATGTTTTGCTTGTCAAAAAAATGTTCTTATATTTAACAGTAAAAGTTGGGATTTTAACTACTGGATGTTGAATAGATTTTGTTTTCCCAACTTTTAAACACCCTGTAGTTAAAATCCAAAATTTTATTGAGAATGTTTATCAAGAACTATTTTTCTTAAAAAAATAAAAAATTTAAATAAACGCAATCCTGGAAAAAAATAAAGAAAAATAAACTTTAATTTTTGACTTCGTTTTTAATTACAAACTTTTTCTTATTAAGCTGTCAAAAAAATTAAGATAATCTTAATTTCATGTTTTTATAATTTTTGAACACCCTGTAGATAAAGTCGCAAATTTGTTTATGTCAATGTTATTTTATTAACTTTTAATTAAAAATTAGTTTTCTTCAAAAACACAAAAATAAAAAAATTATCAAAATCTATTCAAAAACGATTTTATGGCCATTTATATAAACTTAAGGACATAATAAAATAAAAATGCAGTTAATTCAAGTTTTTATAGTTTTTTATATTTAAAATGCATAATAACTACACATTAGTGGGTTTTTGCAGCCAATCTCTTGTCTCTTTCTTCAGCAATCGACAATTTAATACCCTTTCCTCTTGGGAGGGATACAAAGGCTTTAGCGCCCTTACCAATAATGAAAACATTGTTTAACCTAAAAAATAAAAATCAAATAATAAAATTTCACAACCCCAAGGAAAATCTTCATCATTACCTAGTAGCAAAAGTGTGACCTTGGGCATCCTTAATGTGGACAATGTCAAAAGATCCTGGGTGTCTTTCGCGGTTCATTACAGTACCGACACGTCCCAAATTTCTACCTCCAGTGATCATGCACAAGTTTCCTGATTCGAATTTGATGTAGTCGAGGATTTTGGATGTCGCGATTTCCAACTGGATGGTGTCGTTTACTTTGATCATGGGATCAGGATAACGGATGGTACGTCCGTCGTGGGTGACCAAGAAAGGGATACCTTTTGGTCCAGTTTGCACCCTCTTTACTTTGCACAATTTGTACTAAAATTAAAAGAAAACATTAATATTGCATCCATAACAATTTTGTTCTTGGTTATTTGAGGAGCGTTTATTCAAAAAGGGACATGTCCATTTTAGCGATTTGCAGAAACAAGTCAAAAATAACAGAATTCTTTTGCTTTTGACTTATTTCTGAAAATCGCTAAAATTGACATGTCCCTTTTTGAATAAACGCTCCTCATTTGTATTTTCTCAGGTGAGTAAGGTTGTTTCACATTAATCTATATCAATTAAAGATTGGGGAAAACAAAGTTCTCAACCCAGTGTGCCTAAATTCATCACTAGAATTATTTTATCAAAAACCTGCTATTTTATTATTAAATATACCAACTTTTAAACAATTTTGTGTTACTATAATTTAAATGACAACAATGCGTATGTTATTGTATCTATGAGAAGATTGTTATGGAAATAAACCAAATAATGGCTTAACATGGTTAACAGATTTAAATTTAGATTTGATTGTTTAAAAAAATAAAAACTTTATTATTAATAATTGTTGTCAAAATATTTAAAATTATTTGAAACAGGAATTTAAACAAATTTGTTTTTTACTACTCAGCCTTACAAGCTACCATTATTGTATGTTCAGGGCTCCCACGGTTAAATTACAAATTTTATTTAGGAATTTAGGAGGTTTTTTGGAGAATTTTAGGAGAAAAAGTATGCAAATGAATTTATATATATATATTATTTATGAATTAAATAAAAACAACTCTACACTATACATAAAAAATAAGAAAAAAATAAATAATTCTTTTTAACAAAAATATAAATAAATATCACTTCTTTTGTACAAATAGGTTATATTGACGAGTTTTTTTAAATAAAATGAAAATTGAGGTAAAATTACTACTTTTGGATATATCCACAAGTAGAAATTTCACCACACTTTTAATTTTATTAAATAAAAAGCGTCGATAGATATGGCTAAAAAAGTAGGCCAAAGTTTAATGTTATATTTATATTTTGAAAAAAAAAATTTAACAGTTTAGTTAATAACTAAAAATAATTGTAATGTTTACTAATTTAGCTATCATTTAGAAGAAGATTAAAAATCCTTTTGTTTGATATATAACACGGTATATTTTTGTCGAAAATTAACAAAATATGGCTAAAAATGACAATTTTGTAGAAGTCTAGAAACTACTACATGGATTTTGTTTTATGGTATATTTTGTTGTTTTTTAAGAAAAATGTAACTACCTTAATTAAAAGCAGTCAAGTTGGCCTACTTATATTTAATTTTTAGGAGTTTTAGGAGATTGATGGCAATTTTAGGAGAATTTTAGGAGTTTTTAAGATTTAAGCCAAATTTTAGGAATTTTATGAATTTTAGGAGGTGTGGGAGCCCTGTATGTTCTACTTGGCTGTGAAGTTGAATTTTACAACCAAGGGCTACAAAAAACTAGATTATTGTAAACTTATAATGAACAAAATTTAAAATAATTTAATTAGATTCGTTAAATAAACGTTACTTTTCTAAAAACCTAGGATACATTCCTTAATAAGTTAAGGACAGCATTTTTCTCAACAACGTGTTAAAATGCGAGTTTTGCAAAGGATGGGTAAAGTGACATTTTTCCAGTCTGAAAGAAGAAATCACTTTACCATTTACTGTTTACACGTAATTTTTCTTCCTACAAAAAATACTAGAGCAAATTTTGACATTTAAAATATTTTTTTAAAAATTTTGTCATGCGTCATCTACAAAACAGACAGCCCGCAGCGACAGCTACACACACTTAGATATAACTTTGAGCATAAATTTATACTGGTGGTAATTTAATATTAAAAATTTAATTTATAATTTGCTAATGTTTAATTTATTATGTTGATTATTTTATAAAAAGAATACACCATTTCTTAGAACCAAAAATATTAATTACAATCATAAAACTTATTTTTTAAATTTTAATTTAAAACATTCTATTGCAAAAAGTAAAAAAACACCGCCTAGGCAATGCGTAGAAACACCTACTTTACCATAGTGTAGGAAAACAAATATTAGAAATATTTCTAATATTTGTTTAACATATAGGAAGAAAAACAATTTTCATGCTTCTAGATATAAGAAAAGTACACAATAACTTTTTTTTGTACTCAAGACATACAAAATTTTGCAGTATTAAGCCTGGTTTATAGATTACCTTCCTTCCTTCCTCCCTTAAAAGATGAACAATGCTGTTTAAAGATTCCCATATGGGAATCTATAAATGGCACTACGATTTTTGTATTGTTCATCTTCTACAGGAGGGAAGGAAGGCAATCTATAAATCAGGCATTAACGACAAAATATAATTCAAAAAGTTATTTTGAAAAAATATTCAGAGTTGGCAAAAATTAAATATTTAATTTGCAAATTACGTAAATCAAATGACTTTTAAAAAAATACTTTATGGATTAATTCAAACTTTTAATTAAATTTGCTTTTAAACATAAGTGAAAAATGATAGTTCCCTTTAAATTGTAGAATTTTTATTAACATTCAATCTGAAGGCCTTTTTTACATTTTAATACCTGTATTCAGAAACTCTAAAAGAACAATAAAAATGGTGCAATCTAATTGGCTTAGCAAAAAGTGATATCTCAAGGAATTTGCAATTAAAATATTTACTGGTGGAGGTTATAAATTAATTATGACATTATTTCAAAAAATGAGAATCAATAAAATATATTTTTAATTTACTTTGATTAAAAAAATTAAATATTTGCAATTTTTGAGTTTGCAATTTGTAAATTATAATAAATAATTGCTTAATTAAAGAAGTTAATACTAAAAGAAGTTTTATAAAAGTAAGTCAAACCTTAAATCATATAAAATATGACATTATGATTTTGACAGATGACATTTGCAAAAATAAGGTAAATTTCATTTGACATACTGAAATATAATTTAAAATTTAAATGATATTTCAGTATATCAAATGAAGTTTATGTTATTAAAATTGTTTTTGCAAATGTCAAATCTGTCAAAATCAATATGTCATATTTTATATGATTTAAGCTTTGACCCAACAAATTAATGTTTAAAACAGATTTGACTAATCTCTGTAATGTGGTTTCACACTGATTTTCAACAGCATGTCCCAACTTACTTAATTTGAACTCCAAAAATAAATATTTTAACTTATTTCTTAAAAAAGCACTTGTCCTTAATTATTAAATCTTGAACATATAAAAACATTCAATTGAAGCTTTTGGCACTGATAAAACTAATTATATGAACATGTATCAGGTTTTTAGCGCCTGAATACGAAAATGCAGGTGTTTATGAAAATTACCCAATTAAACCTAGTGAAAAAGTTAAAATTAAACTTACTTTAGCTTCTTCAGCTGTGATGCGGTGGATCGTAAATCTACCTTTAACATCATAGATCAAACGGAAGAATTCTCCAGTTTTCTCAATGGTGATAACATCTAAAAAAACATTAACCAATTATAACACTACTTCATTCATAAAGCACTGACATATTTAATATTTTAAAACCATATTTTCTGAGATCAACTTACCCATATAACCAGCTGGGTAGTTGGGGTCGGTTCTGATTTTGCCGTCGACTTTGATTAACCTTTGTTTAACAATCTTAGTTACTTCGCAATTGGTAAGGGCGTACTTGAGCCTGTTACGTAGGAAAATAACTAAAGGTAATGACTCGCGAAGTTTGTGTGGCCCAGTGGATGGACGAGGGGCGAACACACCCCCCAATTTGTCCAACATCCATGCTTTTGGGGCGTTAAGACGCTTCAAGTGCTTCTTTGGACCTCGAGCCTACAACAAACACAACATTTTTAGGTTATATTTACAACATGTGTCGAAACACGAATTGTAAGCAGATTTTTAGAAAAAACTATCACCATTGTGTGTAATACTAATTGGTTTAACAAAAATGTTCAATCAACACTTGTTTCAACTGAATATAAGGCACAAAAACGAATGTACTCGTCGAACTTCACTTGTATTTTTTCACTGGAATCGTGAGAGGTAACCCAAAAATAAGAATTAAATTAACTGAGCACCAGCGTCGGAAATCATTTTACACTTTTAAAGCACTTATTTAATATTTACACAAAAGGATGATGATAGATTTTTATTAAAATATCCACAGTGAACTTACCATCTTGGTATTTTAACCGGAAGAGAAGGGATTCGATTTGTCAGAAAAGTTAGTTTACTACTATAGCGACACCTACATGGCACATTCGCGGTAAATTTAAAAAACTGTTCGTATTTTTGCTGATAAAAGTTATCAATTTGTTTTATACAATTTAATGTAATTAAATTACTTTAGAATCCATAACTATTTACAATGACAATTTAAAATTGCATTATTAATTACGAAAAATACTTTTTTATCGAGTTTTTTATATGAATAATGTTAGATATTTAAAATACTTTAAGTGATATTTAATTGTAAGGTTTACTTGGTTGGGAAATATTTATGTGACTAATTAGTTATTTTTGGAGAAAATCGACAATTTTAATAAAGAAATCATACAAATTTTTATCTAAATCGTGACTGCACAAGCGCCATCTAGTGGTATATTTGTGAATATTGTTCTAAAATTCTAAATTTATAATTCTATATTGTTTTTGTTTTGAAATGTCGATGGGATGTGGTTTATGAGGGATAAAATATTTTTTAAAAGTGATGGCCAGTTGGACAGGCAAAGTGCAAAACGGAAATTGTGACAATTACAGCAACATTTCGATAACGCACGACTTACAGGACTGCATCGACGATAGTTTGGATTTCAATTACAACACGTTGTACTCTGAATCACAGACTGTCATCCAGGAAAACATTAAAGTAAAACAAGAGCCACCCGTTTACGTACAAAAAATTACGGGAAATGAAAATTCCGGGTAAGCAATCGTTTGCCATGCCCAAATTTAGAAATTCGTAAATCGGAAAATTACAATCAGCTGTTTGCGGCTATCGACCTTGAGTTTGACAGAATTTTGGGATTTAATGCAAAAAATTAAATCGATGTTAACAATCGATACAACAAAATACCTCAAAAAAGCTTGGTGAAGCTTAGAAAAACTGCAAGTCTTGCATCCAGTTGAAATTGTTTTTAATTATGACAATTTATAGGTTAATTTAGTTTTAACCTTTAAATTCTGTTTATTGTGAATTTATACAATGGACAAAGTTTAATTTATTAATAATTAAGTAATATTGATGTGTACTGAATGGTTTTGGTACTATACAGGGAAATTAATGCACCATACTTTAACAGCAGATTGTACGTGCAAAAATAAGAAAAAAAGTCCCTATAAACATAGGTCAAGAAATGCCTCTTAAGGAAGCTACAGCCCCCAAAAGGAAAGCTCCTGAAGATGGTTTTTATTTAATATCTCCAAAACCGTTAAAAATATAAAAATGAAATTTGGGGAATTAATTAAACTTTTTATGACCAATAGGACGTAACAATAACAATTTAAAATTTTTTATGTGGTTTGGGTCAGATTGATAGGAAGAAAACCTTAACTTTTTTGTATGTATCTTGTACCAGAATTTGGTGTCAGATTATAAAATTTTAGAGTTTTGCACATAAAAAAGGTCTTCTTGTTGAACTTCGATAACATACACCGTTTTCGCATAAAATCGATTTGAAAAATATTTTATTTCATACTGTACTTTAATGTGCCATTTCCCGGACTCATTTGAGTCCGGGAAATGATACATTACATCACTAGGCCGGTAAAGTAACTTTACCGGACTCGTATATTTTAACTAACACATGGTATTTTCTGAACAATTATAAGTTTTTGCGCCATTTACAGAATATCTCGTATTCCTTTTGATATCGTCCGGAAGACTTGACCGGGATAAGTTTCGCCGTCGCTTCAGAACTTTTTTTCAAAATCTCTGCATCCATTTTATTCGAAATTATTCAAAACCACAGATTCAAAACGATGCTGAACTGACAGACAAGATAATCAATAAAAAAAACTCTTTGTTACTGTTAGCAACCGATTTAAAGCTTACTACATTATCACCCTATATTACTGGTGCTACATTTTATAGTTTGTTTAGACAATACTGATACCATCATGTACTGACACATTACTGACACCTTCACCTGAATATACAGTTCAATTTTTGTACCAAAAATTTGAAAAAAATATTGAATAGTATGAAATAAAACATTGTACGATACACGGCCGTGAAATGTCATTAAAGTACTTGTCTAGAAATTCCAGACTCGGCTCCTTCGTCGCCTCGTCCGTAAACATCTAGACTCGTACTTTAATAAGCCATTTCCCGGCCTTGTAACGTAAATTACTATTACATGGCATAAAAATTCACAATTAAATCACAACCATAGAAATGGACTCGCGTGGTCCTTGGAATACGGCTGCCATGTTTAGGAAAAAATAGAATAATTTAAGACAGGTGACAGTTTCATGTAGTAAGTGACAGGGTGCTTTTACTTTTTTATTTATATTAAATAATAAAAAACCATCTTCAGGGGCTCCCTTTTCGGGGGCTGTAGCTCCCTTAGGAGGCATTTCTCGACCTATTTTTATAGGGACTTTTTTCTTATTTTTGCACGTAGAATCTGCTGTTAAAGTATGGTGCACTAATTTCAGGACACCCTGAAAAAAAAGGAAAAAAAAAGGAATGTGAGGTGAGTTAGAGCCTAAACTGTTTGTTTGTTTTGACCACTTTTTGCTGACAGCAAACTATATATCTTTGATATAAGGGCAGTTCCAGTAAAAGGTTTTACGCTTTTTGAATTAATTTCATTTATTTATATTATAATATATAACTTGATTTTTAAATTAAAATCATGGAGTCTACAATTGTACTTGTAGAGTTCATGCACTCCTTGTGTAGGCTTCATGATAAAATTCAAATTGTGGTCATGAGTCATGAGTAAAAGTAAAAGGTTTTACGCTTTTTGAATGAATTTCATTTATTTATATAAGATATAACTTTGTTTTTAAATTAAAACCATGGAGTCTACAATTGTACTTATGTAGAGTTCATGCACTCCTTGTGTAGGCTTCATGATAAAATTAAATAATAATTATTGTGGTCATGACTCATGAGTCATGACTTTCATAAAAAATTAAAACATTTTAAGATTACTTTTTATTCATTTTTTAATATCTCAAATGTATTATTAAATTGAAATCAAGCCTTCAGATTGAATGTTAATATTCCATAAATTAAAGGGCAGTGGCGTGCAGGACGGGCCCCGCAGGGCCCGCGGTGCGGGGGGCCCGTAGAGAACCACATTGGGTGGTATAATTATACCACCCAATGTGACAAAGTGACAAAGGGGCCCCAGCTCAAAATTTGCGGGGGGGCCCCGATCACCTTTGCACGCTACTGTTAAAGGGGCATAGCAACTTTTTTGAAAACAGTTATTTGATAATATCAAATATTATAGGTAAAATCTCTGATTTAATTCATTTGAATTAATTTTTGCCAACCCTGATTAATGGTATATTATGTATCAAGTTTGATAAACGCCATTTTATACACGAATTTAATTTAGGCACTAGCGAGCTTGCGAGCGAGTGCTTAAGTTAATGAGTATAGAAAAGTTTATAAACGAGGTGCATACTTTACTTTTTCTACGACAAATACTTATTATTATCAAAAATGATTTAAATCAAAAATTTGTATAGAGCGCCATCTATGAAACAACAGGGGAAACTGTCAAATGTAACATTTTTACATTTTATAAAACAATTATAAAGGTTATAAATCGAAATATATTTTGAAAATTGACAGTTTTTCACAGTGAAAGTAAAGGAAATGTTTTATGAGGACTTTACAGTAGAGTCCGTGCCCGAATTTAAGTTATAGTTTACTGCCGGCGAAATTAAAAAGTCAGTACAATGTTCATATGTATACAGGGTGTTTCTTTTAACTTGAGACAGCTCAATATCTCGAGAAATACGCATTTCACGGAAAAATGTCTTAAATAAAAGGTTAATGTTACTAAAGGGGAAATTATTTGATGCTACCGCTAGCCACCCCCTACCCCTCCTTAAGGGTGAAACGGGGGGTAACTTTGGAAAGTCAAATGGAATGATCCGATTTTTTTCACAGAGTTTGGTAGTACATAAAAAAATAAATAACTTTTATTTAAAACTTTTTTCAATTTATCAACAGATGGCGCTGTAATTCAAAATTTAAGGAAAATGAGTTTCCTTGTAAAATGTATTATTTGAAACGTTTGAAAAACAAAAATTAACATTAACAACAATAGTCGGCTATGAAAACAATTTATAACAAATGTTCGAAATGTCGTCATTCCATTTCAACACATTTTTGAATGCGGGTAATGAATTCTGGCACACAACGCGCCAACATGTCGGGCGGTATCGCCGCACAGGCGTTCCTGATCCGCTCCACCATGTCCTCCCAAGTTGTAGGAATTGCAGCGTAAACTTTTTCTTTCAAGTAACCCCACTGGAAGAAGTCTGGTGGCGTAAGATCGGGTGATCGAGCAGGCCAAATTACTGGACCACGTCTACCGATCCACCGCGGTGCACCAGCCATTGAACTCTCGATCCAACACCTCTCGAGCAATTGTCGAATAATGTGCAGGACAACCATCTTGCTGGTACATGTTTTGGTGCCGTGCTAGTGGTACATCCTCCAAAAGGTCCGTCAGATCGTTTTCTAGAAAATTCCGGTACTTTTCGCCATTTAATGCACCGTCAATAAAGAAGGGTCCGATTAATCGTTCGCTTAAGGTACCGCACCAAATTTTTACCGACCAGGGACGCTGGTGCTCCACTTGGTGTCGAAATGGAAGGACGACATTTCGAACATTTGTTATAAATTGTTTTCAGAGCCGACTATTGTTGATTTAATGTTAATTTTTGTTTTTCAAAGGTTTCAAACAATACATTTTACAAGGAAACCCCTTTTTCTTAAATTTAGAATTACAGCGCCATCTGTTGATAAATTGAAAAAAACTTTCAAATAAAAGTTATTCATTTTTTTATGTACTACCAAACTCTGTGAAAAAATCGGGTCATTCCATTTGACTTTCCAAAGTTACCCCCCGTTTCACCCTTAAGGAGGGGTAGGGGGTGGCTAGCGGTAGCTCCAAATAATGTCTCCTTTGGTCACATTAACCTTTTATTTCAGACATTTTTCCGTGAAATGCGTTTTTCTCGAGATATTGAGCTGTCTCAAGTTAAAAGAAACACCCTGTATATATATATATAAACTTTTCAAATATTGGCGTTGAGAAACTATTTAATATTTTTGTATTTTTGTATTGAGATAATAAAATAATTTTCACATTTAGTATTATTTTACAAGAAAGGCACTTTATTTTAACGATTGTATGACATTTGGCAACTGTCAACTAACTTCAGCCCGTGACTAAAAACCTGTGGCTTACTTCAGCCCGTGACTAAAACGCGGTAAAGCCACAACTTGTCAATGTGTATTTAAAAGGTCACTTAGTGTCATGGAAACATGTACGATAAAGGGCGTTTTAAAGGTGGGAGTAGAAAAAATACTTAAACATTTGACAGAGCTCTACTTTGACATTTCAATACTAATAAATGTGGTTATCTATCTGCCAGTTTAACACTTACTTATTTTCTAAAAAATCCAATATTAAACAGTAAAGGATTTTTTTTATTTATAGAGCTTTAGTTCACTTAAATGAGAAATGATTACAAGCATAATAAAATGAAATTTATAAATTTTTTAACAAAGTTTTAAAAATGAAAACAAAAAAAATATTAGCAAAGTTATGATGATTTAGTTTAAATTTTTTGAAAAGAACTAAAAATTTCACAGGATAATCCCTGCTGCCTTATTGCAATTATTTCATTAGTAACCATTTATCTTAAAAACAACGTGGCCAATAAAAAATGTAATGAAATAATTTTATAAATAAAATAAATAAATAAAATTCAACACTGAAAAAAACAAACAACAAATACCTAACTAAATAAGCTGTTTTGATTTTAATCTTTTTATTTTTATTTTTTAGTTACATACATCATGCAGTCACAATGGACAAAATCTACATGCACATCACTCCGGGAAACAAGAAACAAATGCCTGAAAAACCATCCCATGCCACCTTGACAATCACCAGCACCAACCCCGACACCAAAGAGATTACCATCAATCGGTTTCATTGCGAATATGACGGCTGTGCAAGAACATACAGCACCGTGGGCAATTTAAGAACCCACATGAAAACTCACAAAGGTAAAGCCTTAAGATTTGTTAATAATTATTTCTTTATAATAAATTCAGTTTAATTATTTTTGCGTTCATTGGATAAAAGTGTGAGTATATATTTTAAAAGTAGTAAGTATAAATATTAAAATTTAATTTCATTTAAATGAATGATCAGTATACCAATTTTATCGATTTTAAGATTTTTTATATTTTAAACACGGCTTTTTAGATTTTTCTTATTTTCAATTGAAGACTGTAATAATTAATTAAGACTAAGTATTAGTTATAAATATTTTTTACTTATTTTAGCAACCTATTTTGTTTTCAATTTTTTCAATTCCATTTTTAACGCTTTGTGGATCGGTTGGTAATATGGATCACCTTTTTCCCCAGTGTTTCAAAAATCCTTTTTTCTAGTTTTTTTCGTTTAAAATTTTTTTCGAAAGTCAACTTTTGCATTTTTTAACTATTTAAAATTTGTAAGAAAGCTGCATTCTTGGGAAGGAAAATATTTTTAATCAGTTCCAAATTTTTTATTCCTTAAAAGTCAGCACAGTCAACAATTATGGTATATCAATAGTTTAACTTCATTTAATGGTACTTAGCTGAAGGCCCCCACAGATTTCGTTTTTTTCATCGTGTCGGATTCTCACACTTTGTGATTTTAATATATTATAACAGTTATCAATAAAGGGGAATATCAATAAGTATGAATAAGTTTCAGTAACATAAAATTTTAACGTTGTAATGTTAAAATTTGACAATAATGATACTTATTCATTTTTATTTATATTCATATATTATATCACGAGAACTATGAATTTAATCGGTTAAACTATATAGGCTCAGTAGTTTTTTGTTTGGATTTTTGTTAGAAAATGTTGAATGCAAAATAATTTAATAAAATCACGAGACCGCGTAGCGGTTGAGGGGTTTTATTTTTAATTATTTTTCATGAAACTATTTTCCAAAAAGAAAAATCAAATAAAAAACTTACTGAGCATAGTTTGACAGATTAAATTGAGTGATATACGTCTAGATTATTTCTCGAATTAAAGGAAACTATTTGACAATTCATAAAATCTGACGTATGTGTCAAAATTTATAAATATTTTTTTTAAGAAAATTCCATTAATTTTAGGTATGTAATAAGTAATAATTGATATTTCGTAAACTAGATAACTTATTTTTTATTGTTTTTAAAAAAATGTTTGTTAAAACTTGTAAATAACACCATAAAATCGTAAACAAAAATCCAATATGGAGGCTAAAATTTATTCGCTGTTAAATAGTTCTAGTGAATCGCTTATTTAAACGAAATTTATTCGAAAATTCAAGGCTTTTGATTGGTTCATATTATAATGAGGGAAATAATCACCTTTATTTAAAATTAACAGTAACTATAGTTACTGATTATTTATGTATTTTTGTTAAAATCAACCATAAACGTTCAGTTATATTATTGTAATTTACTAATTAAAACTATAGATCTTAATTTTGCTATGACACAAAGATACGTTTCTTGCTAAAGTATTAAAATGTGGATTTGTTTTTCTATAATGTAATTTTTATTAAAATTTCATCAATTACACCAAAAAAATTAACATTAAATAAGGATTACTTAAACAAATAATTTCTGCGCGTTAAATCGGCTCTCTGGTCCAATATGGGACGTTCCGAATCGTAGAGATCTCTACAAACGGATAAAAAAGAACGAAATCTGTGGGGGCCCATTATTAAAAAAAGTTAACTATACACTATTACTGATTTTAGGCGAATACAAATTTAAATGCAGTGAACCTGGTTGTGGCAAAGCTTTTCTTACATCATACAGTCTAAAAATTCACGTAAGAGTTCATACCAAAGTAAAACCATTCGAGTGTACTCAAGATGGTTGTGATAAAGCGTTCAACACTCTGTATAGACTAAGAGCGCACGAACGATTGCACAACGGGAAAACTTTTAATTGCAAATCGGAGGGTTGCACCAAATTTTTCACCACTCTCAGCGATCTTAAGAAGCACATACGTACCCATACCAGAGAGAAACCATATAGGTTGGTAAATAAATATTTATTTATAAACATTTATCCATCTAAATTTCACAAAAAATTCGTTTTTTTATTTTAGATGCGTTGAAGACGGTTGTGGAAAATCGTTTACTGCCAGTCATCATTTAAAAACCCACAAAAGAATTCACAGTGGGGAAAAACCTTACGCCTGCAAGGAAACCACCTGCCAAAAATCGTTTTCGACTCCTCACAGCTTAAAATCGCACACCAAAATACACCAAAGATCTCACGAGAAAACTGGCGCCGAAAACAATTCTGCCGAAGAAAATAAATTGCCCGAGAAGAAAAAGAAGGGTGTTATGATTAAGGAGGAAGTTGATATTGAGGAGAACTTTATTGATATTAATGATTTTAATGTTCAAACGGGAAGTGTTAACTTCGATTTCGAGGGGAATTATAATTTTTCGAGTTTCCAGGGAAATTTGGATTGGGATGATTTAGAAAAAATGAGCTCCAGCAGAGATAAAAACGGTAGGTTTTAATAAAAAACTATCCTGACATACATAATATACATATTATACATGTATATTTGCGAAACTGTAGTTATTTGTTTTCTTCTCAGGAATCAGAGAGGACATATAATGGCAAGAAAGTAATAGGCTACTTTTTTGCCTTTTTTACGGAGTTTTTTATACTCTTATTTTGATTTTTTTTTTAATTCATGACATTTTTTGCGACGTTGCCAATTTTCCAAAAATTCACATAATTTGGGAATTTTTAAAAATCTTCATGATACCTTCAGTAATTACTTAAGTCATCTTGCATTGTTAAACGTTGTTGCCCATTTTCCAAAAATTCCCAAAATATGAATTTTTTAAAATCCTTAGAATATCTCCAGTAGGTCATCTTGCACTCTTTACCAATGTTGCCAAATTTATATCTATTTTTTAGTCTTTTAACTTTTTTCCAAAAATTTCCAGACCTAGGATTTTTTTGCGACAGCGCTGAATGTACAAAAATTTCCAGGATCTGGAATTTTTGTTTTTGGTTTTTGCGTTGTCAAATTTTCAAAAAATCCCAGAACTTGGGAATTTTTCAAAATCTTTAGGATACATTGAGTCAGTCATCTTGCACTATTTAACGTTGTTGTCCACTTTCAAAAAATGTCCAGAGTCTGGGAATTTTTTTAAATCTCTAGAATATCTTCAGTAAGTCATTTTGAACTTTTTAGCGTTTAGCGTAGAGTTGCCAAATTAATATATACTTTTTATGCACTTTTTCTTATTTTTAATTTTTTTAACCAAACATTCCCAGAACCTGGTTCTGGTGTTGGCAAATTACTAAAAAAATCCGACAACCTGTGAATTTTTTAAAATATTTAGGATACCTTCAGTGATGTCTTGCACTATTTATTGGTGCTGCCAAATGTATAATGTATATATGTATATATCGTTGAGTTGAGCTTTAGTCAATGTATATATTCTTAAAAAATATATATATTTTCTTGGATTTTGCAATATTAAAAGTTGAAATAGAATTTTAAAAATTCTTGTGATACTTTTACTATCTACTACTACTATTTAGCGGTGCTGTCAAATTTATAAGTAATTAAAAAAATAACTTCTCTTGGAAATACATTTTTTTAAATTGTAAAACCTGGGGCTTTTTTGCGGTCTTGCAACATTTCTAAAAATTCCAAAACCTAATAATAAAATCTTCAGTAAGTCATCTTGCAATACTATAAGGTGTTGCCAAAATTCTTAGAATACGTTCACTATCTTGCACTATTTAGTGGTGTTGTCAAATTTACATACTTAAAAAAATATACCTTGTCTTGGATTTAATTTGTATTTTTTTTCAAGAATTCAAAAACCGAGGGCTTTAGTTTTTTGTTCTTGCAACATTTCTAATAATTCCAAAACCTAAGAATTTTATAAAATCTTTAGGGTATATACCTTTAGTAACTCATCTTGCAATATTATAAGTTGTTGCCTAATTTCCAAAAATTCCCAGAAAGTGGGAATTTGAAAAATTCTTAGGATACTTTCACTATCTTGCACTATTTAACGGTGTTGCCAAATTTAGATATACATCCGGCATACAGTGTGACCCATTTGTTTGCGACTCACCCCTGTAAAATCTTTATTTATTGTGCGATTTTAACCGGATTTGTTTTAAAGGGTAGATCTTGATAAACTGTATTTTTGGAGCAAAAAACGCCATATTTTTACAAGATACAAGGCCTACTATGTCAGTTTTTAAGAGTCAATTGAATTGAATTCTTAAAAATTAATTTTTAAGAATTCATATTGGCGATTTTTTTAAACAAAATCTAAGCACGGCACTGGATTCAAAACGACCCTTTACTAAATTTTAGTAAAAGTAATAGTATCATGTTACTATTAGTTTAATTTTATATCAATGTTTTTTCATGGATAACTTGACAGAATAAATTTTTGTAGTTATTATTGTGCATTTTTCTACTAAAAATTTTTCAATAAAATTTATTAAAGGGTCGTTTTGAGGGGTGATGAATCCAGTGCCGTGCTTAGATTTTGTTTAAGAAAGTCGCTAACATGAGTTTTTAAAAATTTACTCTTAAAAACTGACATTGTAGACCTTGTATTTTGTACAAATATGGCGTTTTTAGCTTCAAAAATACAGTTTATCACGATCTAAACTTTAAAACAAATCCGGTTAAAATCGCACAATAAATAAAGATTTTACAGGTCTGTGGGTAAAAGGCATAAGGGGATTTATCCCCTTATAAGTCAAAAAAGCAATTTTTCAGTAGAGCCTTGAACGTACTCGCATTAATTCAGGAAATATATTTATGGTTAGCAGGTATACCCTTTTGTTAGCACATGTCATATGCTAAAAAAAGCGTATACCGTATATATAATTATAAATATATTTCCTAATTAAATGCGAACACGTTAAAGGCTCTATTGAAAAATTGCTTTTTTTGACTTATCCCCTTATGCCTTTTACCCACAGAGGTGTGAGTCGCAAACAAATGGGTCACAATGTATGTATTTGCGAAAGTATGTTTGTTTGTATGTTTGTTTGACGTTCAGCCTGTAACGGAGCAACGGATCGACGTGATTTTTTGCATATAGATAGTATATGGGCAGTAGAGTAACATATACTACCTACTGTTACTTTTATTCGTTTTATATGTTTATCTTGTTTTTTGACAATGTGCACAAAAAACGTTTTTTTCTACGACCACTATGTAAAAGTCACTTTTCATGATGGCATCGTTGCTTAGAAAATAAATCTTTTTATTGGCAAGGCAAAACACGAATGTAAAAGTGACATTTCTGTGTGAAAACTGACAGGTCTGTGTGAAAAGAACCGGAAAGCATCGTTTGACATTCAGCTGTCAAAAAAGTTTTTAGGATATTTTGTTTTGTATTTAAAAATAATAAAAAATAAAAGGGTCGCAGAAAAAACATTGTGTTATACTTGTGAGAAAAGCTTTCTTCAAGCTCGAGTTAATGCACACTCGGCCTGACGGCCTCGTGGGCAACTTAAAAACTCGCATGAAAAAGTCGCTTTTCAACACTTGTAAAACAAATAACTATTACAGTATTTTATTTTATATATTTGTACATTTCAATATCAAATTTAAGTCCCAACCATTAGATTTAATATCACACTTATATTTTAGACATACCAGAAAAAGAACAACACACAACTACCCCCACTCAAAACATAGAAACAATCAGTTACAACATATTCGATTCCTACAACTTTAACACAACCGACAACATCCTGAACAACAATTATATCGGGAATCAATTGAATTCTTCGGCAGATCTATCGCTCTCGCCTCTAAGCATCGGAACTAAGGCTAAATTCGCAGCTGTCATCGAGTCAGATTTGGCTTCGCAATTCGAGATGGCGAACGGGCTTAAGAACTACGCTACTGTTAACACTGCGGAACCGATCGCCACGCAGCTCTCGTACAATATCGGTACGGAAAACATCGAGAATGCCAAAGAAGACGAGACGCTGAATGATACTCAAATGCAGCTGGAAGGAAATTCTATAATAACGGAAATAGAAAATTCCGGGATTAATTTGTACGACATTAACCTCAACGATGCGAATTTCGGTGATGTTTTTAATACTCAAGAGAAGACTAATAATAACAATTCGAAAATTAGGATTATAAGCGTCGAAAATATTGCTTCAAACAAGATTAACAACGATTTGGTTGACTTGGAAAAGCAAATGTATGCTCCTGCTGCAGTGGAGATGTCTTTGGCTCAGGATGAGGAGATTCCTGCCGACTGGGTGGATGTTATGAACTTTGCCAATTCCCAGGTAAGTAATTGCGTAGTTTCTGATACTTTATTTTGTTCATTGAAGCTTTCAGATTTTTTTTAGTAGAAGGTGGCATCCCTGCTTAAAATACCCCATAGAGACCTATACAAAATAATCTATAGGGCGCTACCGGATTCAATATGTGCATTTGTCCATGGTTTTTTCCGGATACGGCCCGATAGAAAATGTATAGGAAATTACCTATAGGCACACCATAACTTTTACATTTTCCCTATTGAGACCGATAGCAAATAACTCAATGAAGGATATATAGGGATACCAACCATAAAACATTTGAAATTTTTTTATTAAAACCTATGGAGTCCTATAGGGGAAAAACTAATTTCTACATTTGTGTGTATTCTCCCCTTTGAAACCGATAGCAAATAAATCAAGGGTGGATATCCCTATAGAACAACCATAAATCTCAACTATGGGTCCTATACATACCGATACACCCTATAGAAACACCATACATCCTGATACAAATATCTATCGGTTTGAACAGGGTCTCTATGGGGTATTTTAAGCAGGGATCATACAGAATCTTGTTTTATTAAAAATTGATCTACACCTTGAATGTGTATGTTTTACAGAATCCCAGATAATTGTTAAAAATTCTATCTTCATTCTTTAAAAAGATACAAGGGATACCAGGGAGTACATATTTTCTTTAAATGGCAACATTGCCTAATAATAATAAGTGGTAGATATTTCTTAATCATCATGACAACAAACAACAAAATTAGAAAGTTTCAAAATTAATTTACTTTACGTCGAATTAAAAAAAAGGCATTTTTTGGTATTATCTGTTGTAGGAATTGGGAATTGGGAGTTTTTCCTTTATATTTTTTGCATTAGTGCCATTTTTTTAATACAAAATCATTAAAAATTTTATAAGTAAAGTAGAAATTTTGGGCCGCCACTGGTTGTTCTTGACCAACGATAACTGACGCCAAATGTTCCTGCACAGTGGGCAATAATCTACATTCATTAAAAATTTGTGTTATCATTGATTACTTTGATGATAATTGTTTTTTGTTTTGCATACTCAGCTATTTTTAGGTAGTTTGAATAAAACAATACTTACTTTTTATTGTTAGGTGTGTCGAGGTCTCCATGGTTTTCCCGTAGATTTTAAATTTCACTTTTTACGTCGATTGATGCTCATGTAGCTATTTTTTGAAGTGTTTGACAAAATCATAATAACCAAACTATCAGTAATTAATAATAACAAAGTAGGTACCTGATTTTTTAAAGTTTGCTTGATATTACATAAATTTAAGTTTTTAATGAATGTCGCCCACCTGTTTCTTGTTATCCTTAGCCGTTAATTCCTAATCGATTTTTAATTTAAAAAATCAGTGGTTTACTAAACATCCTCTATTTTAATGTCGTCTAAAATACTTAAGCTTAAGGCCAAAAAGTTACTTTTTCTGGACGAGTCTCATTTTAATCGAGGCGATAGCAGAGGCCAGAAAGAAGACGTGGACAAAATAACACTTTGTAGCTCAAAATTTTTTTTAGGCAAGCCTCATTATAATCATTTTATTTATGATTTATTGACATAATTATGAATAAAACAGACAATATAGAAAGCGGCATAAGGTCTTATTTTTCGGCCGCTGATTAAAATCTTTTGGTAAACATCGATATATGGCGCCACCATAAAACGGGCAATAATGAAAGCGGCCGAAAAAGTGTTATTTTTTGGCCGCGAAAATCCTGAAGCAAAGTACTAGTTTTATGGCTATAGCAACACTTTTCTTCTTAACAACACTATTACTAGTTTTAAGGTTAGAACGTCTATCTGGTTTGTTCTATGCAAGTCTGATGGATGTCAGATTGCCTAAATGAAAGATGTATACAATGGACGACTATTATAATAATGATTAGGGTGTGTCATTTTTAAGCAACTTTTTTTTTCAAATAAAAAACAGGCCAAAAACTTTCAGGAAGGTGAAAAAAAAAAACTCTTAATATTAACATTAAGTGGTGCCTGTTCCTAACTTTCCATTTTTCATTTAAATAACATGGAAAAAAAAATTTGTATCTTATTATTATTTTGGTAGGAAATTGAACGCTCTACAAAAAAGTACTAATTTATTTTTTCATAGAGTAAGCCGTTCTGAAGGTATTCAAACTTGCAAATCTATGAAATTATGACTTTTATTTTATTAAACTAATACTTTTATGTTATTTTAAAGAGCTAAAATTTTTAGAGGCTTCTTTTTTCACCTTCCTGAAAGTTTTTAGCCTGTTTTTTAGTTGAAAAAAAAAGTTTCTCGAAAATGACACAGTTTCCAAATTTTTATTTCATTATGAATACGTATGAATAAATAAGTCAAGATTAAACCAAATCAATCATTCTAATATAATTTTTTTTTATACCAAAAATTTAAATAAATGTGATATTTAATTTATATTAATAAACTGATAAAAAATAAACATAAACGTCTTAAATCACTTTACCATTAAGTAGCACATAATTTTTAAACAAAATCACCGACACTTTACTTATTTTTTTTTATCTAATAAAGGCTGTTATATTAATATTATTAGTCTACTTATTATTGTCTACTGATAATTATCTTGCATTTTAAATTAAATTTTCAATAGTACTTTTTATTTTGTAGGTTCTTAGAAGCTGCATAATACTACTAATAAAGTCTTTAATAATTATTGTTTATAGTACTAGTGCCAAATAAATTGTTGTTATTTATAGTTACCATTTTATATTAAAACTTCATAGAACTAATCTATTTGTGATACTTCTAGAACGTGTGGTTTTAAAGCTACATTTACAATTGTATAATTATTAACAAGAAATATTTTTCTGTAATGCAATGGACTATAGTCAAGAATACAAAAAACACGCCAGGCTAGGCCTACTCTATATAATAATAATTGAAACAATAGGTATAAACAATATTTGTATTTATTTATATCTTTTTAAATAATGTAGGTAGAATTTTTTCTGGAATTTTTGGCAGTCTGTAGATCATACAATTTCAAGGTGGTGTGCGACTTTTGGGACACTGTATTTGTTTTGATATCCTCTGTCTCGTAAACCACGTAGCTTTGCCATAAGTACATTTTTTATTCTATAAATATTGAAATGAAGTTAGTGCATCATTGTTTTTGGAACCTCCAAAAACAATGGACCTATTCTTCATACATTTTCTTTTTCCTTTGTAGCAAATCACTTTTTGTAAGTAATGTGATTGATTAAATCAATTTTAGGTGAACATATTTCAAGAGGACGTCAACGAAAACCCCCTAACCGCAGTCCCGACCGCAATACAAACCTACATGGATTTGCCGCCGATTCAGGCCAACACCGGCGAAAAAACCGCCAACACCGACGTGAACCTGCTGAAAAATCTAACCGCCCAAGCCGACATCTGCAAATGCGTCGACTGCAAATGCGACGCGTTGAACAACTGCCAAAACTGCAACACGGATAACTCTCTACCAGCACCGCAACCACCAAAGGTAAAACCCCAGGAGGGTGGTTCATGTCGGTGCAACGCCAAAGGTGGCTGCTGCAAACCGGTGCAAAAGAAACTTTGCTGCGACACTGGCACCACCAATATTATCGATGTTTTGAAAAGACTGCCCGGCAATAATAACGACGATTGCTGCGTGGTTGTGTGCTTGAAAACCATGGAACATTTGCGGCAAATGTTGAGCATGGCTAATACGTGCAATACGTTTCAGAATGTTCCCATGACTTGCGTGAAAAATAGCGGCTTTTGCTCAAACTAAAGGCTTTTTGCATTTTTAAGAGGAAATTGTTCTGTATGTTATACAGAATAACATCCCCTTAATCTGCTTATAAAGGGTAGTTTAATAGGAACGACGCACTTTTAAGTGGATTTTTTGGTAATCGTAGAAGGCTATACTAGGGTGATTTTTTTACTTCCGACACTGAAAAATTGGTCCTTAGGTACCTCTAGAAAGTGCTCACCAAATTTGAGCTCTTAATATTAATAGGGAGATCCTCATCATCAGAGTTTTCCTTTAGTCCCTCATAAAAAGACCATATTTCATTATTAATCAATCGTTTAATCAAATTTATACACATTTTTGTATGAAATTGAATGCTCTATATATAAAAAAGGACTAAAAGATATTCATGCAAAGTTTGAAGAATTTATTAAAATACACTCTACAAAAAAGGTCTGATGTGTTTAATTGATTACTCTAACCGTTGAGAAGATATTCGTATCCGAATCCCAATGCGTACTGATACGAATATCTTCTTAACGGTTAGAGTAATCAATTAAACACATCAGATCTTTTTTGTAGAGCGTTAAATTTTTTACAAAAATATGTCATACTCATTTGACAATAACTATTTTTCAATGAGTTACAAAATTATAAAACACATTTTTTTTTAATAAATTCTTTAAATTTTGATCTTGAATATCTTTTAAATGGTTAGAGTAATCGCTTAAATACATCAGTCCTTTTTTGTAGAGCATTCAATTTCCTATAAAAATATGTATAAAGATTTGATTAAACGATTGATTAATAATGAAATATGCTATTTTTTATAAGGGTCTAAAGAAAAAATGGAAAACTGCGATGACAAGGATCTTCCTATTAATATTAAGAGCTCAAATTTAGTGAGCACCTTCTAGAGGTGCCTAGGAACCAATTTTTTAGTGTCGGAAGTAAAAAAAAATATTCGATTTTTTTTAATCACCCTAATGTAAATATTTTAATTTTTGGTGTATACAGAAGGGTGGGCCGATTTTACATGTAATTTCAAAAAATTTTAAATTCTGCATTTAAGAAAAAGTTGTGAAATTTTTGCAAAATATTTTTTTGATATCTTTATGTTTTGAACTGCCACAACGCCTCTAAAATTTAAAAGTAATTAAAAAAAATTCTGCATAAGCGGAAAAGTTGTGAAACAGGAAAGTAAACTATTTTCCTTTTATGTTGTTTTTTTCTTTTTTAATGTTTTGAACTGCATGAAGTTACAAACTGTAAATTTTAAATCATGCAATTATTAAAACGATGTATGACAGTTGACAGTTGGCTTCAATGTTTATATAAATTATAAATTGAACTAAATTTGTGTTAATGATAAAGTCAATTTTGTTTTCGTTTCTTCTCATAAATAATTATCATTCAAAACTTTTTTTGATCCTATTTTCTCCCAGATAATTTTTACATTAAGAACTTTCAAGGCCATGAGGCAGTTTAAGAAATTACAATTAAAAAAAAATCTTGTATAATATTTTTCTGGCCTGGCCTGGCCACAACTTTTCCACCATTGCACAATTTGATAATTGAAAAATAGTAAAATTGGCCCACCCTAGTATACAGTTGATGCATCATCATAGCAGCTTCGGATTTAAGAGTGGGGGGATAATTCAAACGGTGACAACAGGTATTCGAATGTGTTAAATTACACTGTGCAACAAAAGAAAATTGCTGGGTTTGGACCAGAAAAAACATTATTACAAAAAAATTGTAATTGTAAACTGCTCAAAAATTATCGGATTTTCAAAATTAAAAAAACTTCCCAACTTTCATCAAAAAATGCATTTAACCAAAAGGTAAATTTTTTTATTTTTACACGAATGTTTTTTTCTTGAAAACTTCGCAAGTGGCATTCATTTAAGAACACGAACCGCCAGGCGAGTGGTTTTAAATTAATGCCACTAGCAAAATTTCCAAGGAAAAATTTTGAGTAAATAAAAAAAAAATTCAGGGAAAATTTTATCACGAGTGGTAATCGGCAAGAATATTTCACGAATATATTTTTTTTAATTAGAATTAACTGCCGATTCAATTTCTGTATGATTTTTTTGACCAAAACTCATATTTTAGACATTTTTATTTTAAAATTAGAAACGTCAACATTTACAATTATTTTTCGCAATTGGTTACTATGCAACTCTTATAAACGAGTGTTTTTCGTAAGTAATATCATAAGGGCATTTAATTTTTCCGAAAAAAATCGAAAAAACACGTTGCTAAGTAATATTTTAACAAGAAGCATGAGTGCTGGGGGCAACAAAAATCCGAGTCGAAGACGAGGATTTTTGCAGCTGCACGAATGCATTTTGTTAAAAAATATTACTTAGCATTGTGTTTTTTCGATTTTTATCACAGGAAAAATTAGATGCCCGAATGGTATTTGACAAGACTATTTCCTGAGTAACTGTTAACAATTAAAATATTACATGTTAAAATATTTTTGGTGACAACACCTAGAAACCATTTGTAATTCAAAATTGCGCGTTTGTAATTGGTGGAAATTAAGTTTTATCGCTGCAAAACTGAAAAAAACACTCGTTTTCTAAAATCTGATTGGTCCATAAATTAATGAGTGGAATAGTCGCTGCAAAACTGAAAAAACTCGTTTTCTGAAATCTGATTGGTCCATAAAGAAATGAGTGGAAGTCTTATAAAAACGTTTAACCATAAAACAATTTTCTTGAACGGTGTGTTGTCGCCGCCTTTAAATATCCCCACTCTTTCAATGCGGATGCACTCGGAATTGCGCGAAAATACGGTATAATATACAGGGTGATGCGGGATAGCTCACGCCATTCGGACAACAAAATATCAAGGTTTTTTACATTTGGGTACGATATACGAGGTGTATTAACAAAGTAATGACAGTTTTCGCTTTACTCGGCTTGTATTAATGTTTTGGTTGATGCTTATTAAACAGTTTTTCTTATTTCAACTTAAATCTAATATAAAATAGAAAAAAAAACAAATAAAGGAACTAAAATTACTTTTTCAGGAACTTTTGTTTCCAAAGTTGGTATATTTCAAAAAATTGAAATAAGCCAAGAATAAACAAAATCAAAACATTTATTTCGTAGAAAAAACAGTACAGTACCCAAAATTGAATTAAACTTCTTAAATCAGTTTCCCATCAGGCAGCACATAATTTTTATACCAAAATCACCGATATTTTTCTTATTTGTATTATCTAATAAAGGCTGTTATATTAATTTATATTAGTCTACTGATTATTATAAAAAGTAAATTTTCAGTACTTTTTATTTGTATGTTCTTACAAGCTGCATAATACTACTAATAAAGACTTTATTATTGTTTATAGTACTAGTGCCAAATAAATTGTTGTTATTTATAGTTACCATTTTATATTAAAACTTCATTAAGGAATTCGTCGACTATTTTTCAAGAACTAATCGATTTGTGATACTTCTAGAATGTGTGGTTTTAAAGCTTACATTTACAATTGTATAATTATTAATAAGAAATATTTTTCTATAATGCAATTAACTAGTCATGTGGCCATTAAATATTTTTATGATTTTATAAGTTAAGGTTTTGCAAAGTGCAATTAATATATGTAGGTACTATACATTGTATAGTCTTATTATTTGTTAGATATTTTATTTAATAGTTATTATTATTATTATTAAGTATAACACTGGTCAGCTGGATCGAGAAAATACCTTTTAAGTTTTATTCTTGTTTAGTGTTATTCGCAAATTTTACTTAATGTTATTTTTATTTATTAAAACTATTAATTACAATTGTAAAAATAAAATGTTTTAAATTAGGTACTTGTTTTCTTTAAGGTCCAATCAATTTTTAGTTCAAACAATTTCCTTGAAATCGAACTAAAAATGCAAACCTTAATTACCTAAATGAAATAATTAAGGGGCCTTATTAATAAAAGGGGTATAAGTTGCCTTGTTAAGCAAAAATGCCTTTTCTACATTATTAAGGTATGAAGGACAAAATATCATTTTGATTGTTAAAAACTTGTTGAAAATAATAAAAATATTGTTTTGACCTAAATATTGTAGCTGACTTATAAGTTTTGCATTTTTAGTTTGATTTCAAGGGAATAATTTTATGTTTAAACGTTTTTATTAGAGTTGTGTAGGTCGACAGAGCGCAAAACGCAAATGATACTTAAATCCTTGAATGGTGTATCGTCGCCGCCTCTAAATATCCCCACTCTTTCAATGCGTTCAGATGCACTCGGAAGTGTACTTTTAGCGCAAAAATACGGTATAATGTACAGGGTGATGCGGGACATTTCACGCCATTCGGACAACAAAATATAAAGGTTTTTTTTCATTTGGGTACGATATATCGTATATATACGAGGTATTAATAAGAAATATTTATCTATAATGCAATTAACTATAGTCATGTGGCCATTAAATATTTTTATGATTGTAGTCTTATTTGTTAGATATTTTATTTAATGGGTATTATTATTACTATTAATATTACACTGGTCAGTTGGAGCGAGAAAATACCTTTTAAGTTTCATTCTTGTTCAGTATTATTTGCAAATTTTACTTAATGTTATTTTATTTATTAAAACTATTAATTACAATTGTAAAAATAAAATGTGTAAAACTAGGTAATTGTTTTCTTTAAGCTTCAGTCAATTTTTAGACAGGAAAAAGAGCCCAAGGAAATGTTTTTTAAATTTGCAACTTTAATTTCTCTAGAAAATGATTTCTATGGAAAACAATCGGAGCACAGCATTTTCCCCGGCAATCTAGTGACTTTGAAACCCTATATAAATTATAATGGGTTGTTAAAATTAAAAAACCGACAAGCCATCTCCATTACTTTGAAATTTTGCGAGGAGTAAAAGGCTACCACGGTTAGAACGTGTTAGGAAGAGTTGCAACACCAATACATAAATATTAAAATTAGTTGTTTAACATATCTTTTGAATTTCCAATCAATGACGTTGTCTTTGACAGCGCTGCTGGAGAAAAGCTAAAAACAAACAAGTTTTCGATTACTCGCCTTTGATGTTTCCAATGAAG